TCAATTTCACCAAAATCCGTGCGGAACCTAGAATTGGGTGAGTTCCAATTCGTCTTCAAATCAACTCCGTCGTCCCAACCAATGCTTGGGCTATGTTCTAGGTCCTAAGGGAATGCTAATGGTCTTAGTAATTGAAAGAAAACATTTCAAGATTTGAAGAATTTGGACAAGAAAGTCGCGGCACCACGGGTGCGTTCTTCACCAATTCACCATCAAATTTCATGATTTTTGGGGTGAAACATGAAGAGGGAAGGCCTAGGTGTTGATTGGAAGTGGTACCTTGATCCAATTTGTGAGAATTCCGGTGAAAATCGTCGGAATTTGGGTGTGGGTGTCGCGGGTAAACGGGTTAGGGGAAAACCCGTTTTCTAATCTTCTCTCCTCCGCTTCTCGCCCTCTCTCCTTTCCTCCTTTCCTCTGTTCCGATTGGTCGGCTTCTCTCTCTCTCAATCCCTCCTGATGCCTTCTTCTCTCTTGTCCCGATTGGGCATTTCTGCCCAATCTCCTTCCTCTGTTTCTTCCTCCCACGCACACACACACACAAAAACCTTTTTTCACTTATATTTATTTATTTTTGTTTTCCTTACATCCAAGCCATCAATTTAATTCTTCATTAAATCTGGACCATCCAAATTTTAATAATAAAATTTATAAAATGCCCAAACTTCAAACTTTAAAATCTTTTTCGTTATAACTCCAAATAACGAACCGTCAACGCCCACACGTTCGTAGCGACGAGTACTACGAGAATATGTCAAGAAAATAAATATTAGAAGGCACGACACAACGATTAACCTCGAATAATGCGCGTACCTCAACGGGCATTTTTTGTAAAATCCTTTATTAAAACTTTAAAACTCTTAAAATCAGGGACGGGCTGTCACACAAATTGTTAGTAGCCAAAATTGTATTATATTATCAATAATATAGTATTGATAACACACAACAATCTAATTGAGAAATATTACTTTACCATTTTACTCCATCTTTCTCTAGGTGATATTGATGCATAACCCTATTTGAGTTCCATAGAGCAATTATGTTGGGTAAGGTCTCATGCATTTTCTGGGATTTGTCTCTCTTATATTCCAGCATTCTCAAGGGATGTAAATGGAGATTTTTGATGGCTTGGTGGGAGTGTTTCTCATGACAATGATCTCAAAATGTAAATGCATAAACAACACAAGATTTAAGTGGTTCACCAAATCGACTACATCCATTGGGGTTTGCTTTCATTGCATTTCACTATATATGAGAGACTTACAAATACAATGAAAGATGGCTTAAAGCCTTAACAATATGTAAAAGAAAGATAAGAGGTAATATGAAAGGGAGAGTGGCTTTTGTTGGAGTTGTTCATTTTCTTTTTCTTTTTTTCTTCTTCCTCTCTCTTTTCTCCATGTCCTCCGTTGGTTCTTGCTCCTCCCCTTATAAAGATTGCATGACATCCTCCTCTCCAAAAAAAAAATCTCCCAAGTGTGCCGATAAAAATAAACCAAGTGTTGTGCCAATCATTAGACATAAAATGTGTTCCAATAACAAGGCAACTAGTGTTATCCTAATCATTAGCAATGATAAGTGTTTCAGTGGCAAAGCAACAGGTGTCAAGTTAATCATGAACAGATGAATATCATGCAAGATGGATGCAAATATCAAAGGCCACGTAAACGTTTATCTCATGGTAAGCTTCATAGAGTTCTATTGGAGTGAGAATATTACCAAATGATTAAGATTCCTTTAGATTGATGAGTAAGCACTTCTAAAACCACAAACACTGCCTCATGCATGCTTATAGACTAACAAACACATGCTATAGACTCCATCTCTTCACCCTAATTATTAGCTTCTATTAATTACCAACTTCCACCTCATCCTTTGGAGAAAGAATCAAGCTAACTCTACTAGAAAGTTCCCAACTCTTGGAGCTTAACTTTCGAACCCTTTTACACTTCACTAATTAAAGATCAAAAAGGCTAGCAAGGGTAACTTAGTTGCTATTGGCACGAAAAGGATAAGTAGAAACCCTAACAAATCAAACTAATGCATATATATATATATATATATATATATATATATATATATATATATATATAAGCTACACAGTTACTGGACAAAGTTACAAAATTATGATGAGGATGCCAAATAATAGAAACCTCACAAAAGGGATAAGTACAAACCCTAACAAATCAAACTAATGAATATATATAAGCTACACAGTTACCGGACAAAGTTACAAAATTATGATGAGGATGCCAAATAATAGAAACCTCTCTAGTTGGAGACATTTGAGTATAAAAGTACTAATTAGGCACAAAAATATATTTTTGTGGTGGAAGGGTCCCTACTAACTTACATGTCAAAATACAAATAATTGTAAATATAGTATATAAAAGAAATCCAACAAAATCATTACGTTTGAAATAAAAATAATTACCCACACACATATATAATCTTTTTTTTTAAGGGGTATTACATTAGTAGTAACCTGGACTTGGAGGAGGCCGTTGATGGAGAGAGAGAAAAAAAAAATAAGTGGGTGGAGACAAAGAGGGAGGGGGAATGATGGGTACAAAGAAAAGAAGGGAGGGAGAGAAGGGAGGGAGAGAAGAGAGGGGGCCCGATTTTTTTATTTTTATTTTTTAATATCCATGTGGGTCCATATTCACAAATAGTCAGTGGCGAAGCTACGTGGGGGCGAGGAGTGGCGGCCGCCCCTCATCTCGCCGGAAAACATGCCTAGAAGCGCTGGTTCAGCCCTTTCGCTCTCGTCGGAATTCATGGCACCTGTAAAAATTGGATTTGGTCGGTGCACTGTCTTGGTCGAATTTGCAGAGGAAGGGCAATAGTTTGGTTGGATTTGCAGAGGAATGACGAAAATGGAGGAGAGAGGTTGGAGGGATGAAAGGAGAGAAAGCGGCTACTCCACTACCAGTAATTAAGCAGTTGCATAGGTGCTGCCATGTCAGAGGAGAGAGTTAGGTATAAGTGGGCTGGGTTGGGTTCGTTGAAGGAGAAAGATTGATGGAGAAATGTTAAATTTGACCTGGACGGGGATAAGATCTGCGGCATGGGACGGAGGAGAGAGGAACTGTTTGGTTATAGGTGTAAGGTTAAAGTTGGTTACTTGGTTACAGGCATAGAGAGTTTAAAATGACAGATGGCTTTGATTTGACTGAGGACCCAAGTATTTTCCCCTTCTTTTTTTTCTCTTCTAACCCCACCTTTTTTTGTGGTTTATTAACCCATTTCTCTTTTTTTTTTTTCTTTTTTTAATTCTTGTATTAATTTTTATTTTCTCGTTTAAGACTTTCACTTTATTTTCTCATATTATTTATAAATATTGTATTTAAAAACAATGTAAATATTGTTGAATGCTTATTTTATGATAATTTAAATCCATCTAGGCTCCTGCCTATATCTCGCCTAGGCACTCCAGTCCGCTGTTTGATTAGCGCCTAACATTTTTTAGGATCTAATCCTGACCAATTTAAGCTTCTTACATTGACTTTGATATTATTGCTTACAACTGTTTTGGTGGAGAGATTATTTTCTGCTATGAATATTGACTCAAAACTTTGTACTCTCCAATGGAAAAGCAACCACGCTTGCACTCTTTTGAATTTTGCCCCTCTCCTCCGCAAATCCTGGCTTCGCCACTGCAAATAGTGATCAATTATTATTCACGGGAGCGTCATGTTATTAGTTAATGATTGATTTAGTAGCACCTTAATTGATGTATAAAAGTGTTTCAAAATTATAACGTCAGGTACTACTATGGGATAAAAAAACTTGATGTACCAAAAATATTGAAAACAAAAAAAATTCTGAATAATAAACTGAGATTAATCCTAAATAAAACTTTTATATAAAGAAGAAATGTCAAAGAAATGAAAAATTTATGCAGAATCGTAACCAGTCCTAACTCTCTTTAAAGCCCTAAACATGAGAAATGTCAAGAGAAACAAATCTACATGATTGCCTCTATAGCTAGTTGCTCAGTCATACTAGAAACTAACCCTAATCGCCGACAATCTTTAGATTTAGCTTCGAAATTCTTCCCTGTTAAATATCATATTTAACAGTGAAAGAAAACAATCACACGGTAAAATGTTTCACCACAAGAAAGTTATTTAGTCTGAATTGAACTTTAGTATAAAAGTTCATGTTCTGCCAAATGGTAGGTCAGTATGTGGATTTTTCTATCTTTTAGATTTCAAAATAATTATTCTCTTAACTTATGATTTGCGCTGGACCATTTAACAAAAAGATCAACTGTTCATAGAAACGAATTAGAAAGTGACATACAAACCAAAAGTCTTAGAGCCTAAATACAACCCACGCAAGACTGTCTTTACTTAATACAAGTGGTGAATTACTCTAACAGTCAAAATCTTCATCTTCAATTCAATGCACTCATAATTTAAACTCTCTACGATCATAGTTTAAACTCTCGCCACTCCGGGCATCACACCATGGGAGTTGGCCATGCCCAAAGCTATCTTAACCATAAGGGTAGGGGAGATGTCGAAGACATGATCGGTGACTAGAGTGAAGTCATAATAAAATTCAAAATGGTGAATTACTCTAACAGTCAAAATCTTCATCTTCAATTCAATGCACTCATAATTTAAACTCTCTACGATCATAGTTTAAACTCTCGCCACTCCGGCCATCACACCATGGGAGTTGGCCATGCCCAAAGCTATCTTAACCATAAGGGTAGGGGAGATGTCGAAGACATGATCGGTGACTAGAGTGAAGTCATAATAAAATTCGAGTTGATAACAATTTAGTTGTGCAGGAGAGAAACATTCCATTCCAAAATTGAGTTCATCAAACAATAAGAAACTTCTGTATTCACAAAAAACCCACAAAAGCAGCATCACCCTCTCTCAACCAACCCCTTTTATTCTCTTTCTTTTTTTTTCAAGAAACAAAATAATTGGCTTCTTCTCGCAAAATAAAAGGCTGAAATCCTATACATTTTTTTTTTTCTTTTTAAAATTGTATCTTCAGATAATTACAGTGTCCTCCACAATTTGAGCAGTAGTGCTACCAATGCTTTCCCTCCCCTACTTTTCCCACCATCTCATCATCAGACCACCAATAACTGCTCGCCACGTGTTACCGACACCGCCGCTTGGCCTCCCACTTGCTTCTGCCCCATCCCTGCTCCCATTTCCAATCCGGCTTGAACCGGGCTCGAGCCGTCCGCCTTCTTTCTCCGCTTCGGAGATCCGTTCTCCGAAGACGAAGATGACGGTTCGGATGATGACCGCTTAGACGTCACCCGCACCGGGTCGGGTTCGCCCGAGTTCACCCGGAGTGGAAAATTCAACAAAGCTCTGGACCCGCGCATTCTGTAAGCGGCTCTGTCATAAGCCAAAGCCGCGTCCTCAGCTGTTTCGAAAGTTCCGAGCCAAACCCTCGCGCCGTTCTTAGCCGGGTCCCGAATTTCGGCCGCGAACTTTCCCCACGGCCGCTGCCGTACGCCTCTGTAGTGCTTCCCCTTCGCTGGCACCACAGCTGGAACGGCTTCAGCCGACTTCTGAACCGGTTGAACCGGCGCCGCTTTTTTCTCCGGCACTCTATCCACCGGTGGCAGAACCTCCGGTTCCGATTTTACCGAAAAGCCGTAGGAACACGTATCGGCCGAACCGGATGGAACCCATCCGACGCTAACGGCGTCCCTCAGTACTCCGTAGAGCACCATGTCTTCGGAATCGTCCTCCTTGAGCGGCAAATCACCCCAATTCTCGGTCAAACACGGGTACAGGCTACTGAAGCTGGAGCTCCGAGAAAAAATGGGTCCCGAACCCGAGTTGCTCATCGGGTTCCCGATTAGGAGATCCGTCTCTCCCAGAAAGTGTCGCCGAATCGATTCCAGGAGTATGTAGTCCGAGTCAGCTCCACTCTGTCCGTACATTTCGCAGCCAAAAAAAAACCAAAAAATTCGGGTCCGGGTCTTAAACCGAAATGTGTTTTGAAGTGTAGAGAGAGAGAGAGAGAGAGAGAGAGAGAGAGAGAGAGAGAGTCTTATATTTGTTGAGATTTTGGATTTCTTCTGGGATTTGAAGAGATGAAGGTTTAAATAGGTGAGAAGGTTCATGCACACTTCAACCGGATGGATATTTTCGGTATTTAATATATTATTATTTTTTATTTTTTAGCGGCCGATATTTTTTTATTTATTTTTAGTTGATGTCGATGTCGAAGTCGGCTGCTTTGAAATTTCTTTAGTGTGCAAATTGTGTTGTGGGGCCCGTTTTCAATTAATCACGTTTGGTTTTGGGTTGGATTGAGAGAAGCGTGATGTCATCCTGTTACAGCAGCAAAGTGCGACTTCTTGTTGTGTCGCTTTGCTTCCACGCATTTTTTTTTTGTCTCTTTGCTTTATCCATAATCGATATGCAAAACCAACAAGTGCACTTCGACAACTCCAAAAAAGTTCATAATGCGCGACTATTGGTTTAACAACTAATACCGAAGTTTTTAGCAATAAAATTGTATTATTGGTAAATTATACATGTAATAATTATCAAATGAGAAATAATATTGATATCTTTAGAAAGAAGCTTTTAACTCGTCATTCTGACAATTTGACACAATTTTTTTAATCACTTACATTATATAATTAATTTATGCATTTTATAATAACCAAATCTAACTAATAATTCTTTTTTATAAACAATAGTGTTAATGAGTTCACGGTTAGTTGTTAGGAGCAGAGAGATCTTTATCAAGATTCATATACATAATTAGCAGCAATGTTTAGCAACACAGAGAAGCGTGCGGTTCATATTGGTGCTTTTCAACGGCTACCAAAATCATGCAAGTATAGCCTTGAGAGCGCCATCGGTGATGAAACTGGCCAAAGAGTATTGGCAACCCCTTCGTTGCTATTACTTGAAGTGGTTTTTTGAGGTGGTACTTCGTAATGTAAAAAAAATGTGTGACCGAGCCAGATTAATTGTTCTGATGCTAAAATAAAATCAAATTACGTTCACCCAATAGCTACTTGCAAAGATCGAAAATGTGCTAAGACATGCCATTTCAAGCCCATGACAATACTTCAGGTTAGGATAGGGCATGCTTAGGCCATCTCCAACCGAAGGGTCCAGAGGGCCAGAGGGCCGAAAATAGCCCTAAAACCGTCTCCAAACGAGGGCTAGGCCAGATGGCTCTGGAATATGGGAGGGCCACACGGGATCGGAGAGGGCTAGAGGGCTGGAGGGCTGGCTATTTTTTTTTTTAATGATTTCCTATTGCTGTCGGTTATAGCCGACAGCATTAAAGATATTCTTTTTTTTTTTTTAATAGTTTGAAATGTTTTTTAATATAACGGCTAGTAGCCGTTGTATTATTAGGCCTCTTTTTTTTTTTTTTTTTTTTAATGAATTTAAACTTCTTTTTTTTTTTTTTTAATGAATGTAAACTTCTTTTTTTCCCCTTTTTTTTTCCTTTTCATATGAATCAAATTTTGTTTCATATTTTTTTTCCTATAACTTTTATTTCACAAAATTTGTTTCATATTTTTTTTCAATTCTATTTTTTTCGTATAACTTCCTAGGCCATTTATACAACATTAAATTGTAGTTTTTAAATAATAAATTATGTTTGGCCCTATGGCCCTTTGGCCCTCGGTTGGAGACGGTTTTTTGTGACAGAGCTAAAACGAGCCATTTGGCCCTCTGGCCCTCGGTTGGAGACGGAGGCAAATATGGCCATGTACTGTTCATTAAAATATTAATATCTTGGAGAATCTTGAAGGGCTAGAGGGCTCAAACGAACCCTCTGGCCAGCCTTCGGTTGGAGATGGCCTTAGGTTCCAACACATCGACTCATATTCACCTTCGTAAGTTTCTCTTTCGTGCTTGGTGGGGCCAAACAGGATAGGGATGACAAAGAACCCCCACGAATTTGGGTATTTGTTGATACCCAATCCTAACAGGGTGGTTATGGTGGATAGTACACGAGTACTGGACAGGTTCAAGGACTTTTTGAAAAATCTGAGTCGCCATGATGGTATTTTCATTCTTGATTAATTCAAACTCGACCCGATTATATATGTATATGTATAGTAAATTGTTATAAATTAGTTACATAGAAAAGTATGTTGTTCCACTCTAACCTAAGTCTAAAATTTCAGTCTTTAACCTAAGAGTAATGCTAAGTAGACTAAATTTGCAAACTAAATGATGTGTCACCAATAAAAAATAAGCATGTTAATCAACACTTAAGTAATACTCTAATTATCAACTTCCATGTTATTTTATTTACAATATTTTATCTACATATTTAGTCTTTCTAGCATTACTCTTAACCATAATATGATCCTCGACCTAATGCATCTATAGTTACGTTGGATGCCCAGGTAATAATTGAAACTTTTGATTTTGAGAGCCCAAATATGATATACACGATTCATCTGACAATTTTTGCTACAAAAACAACTTAATCATGATTAGCATTTTGTTTTGATTAATGTTAGAAAATAAACACGTTAATCAACACTAATAAATCAATTATCAACAACTATGTTATATAGTTTACAAAATATGATTTAAATCAACAATCTCAAACATTACTTTTTTTATACAAAAAATATTTCATCAGACATTAATAGCAGATTAATCCACTTATATACAATTCAACGTAAGTCGACTACATACTTTTAAGAAGACTTTGTAAGATGAAAGTTGGTCATCATAAGAATTTATATTTCTTCTAAAATCTGGTACGCTAGGAATTGTAAACGAGCTGAAAAGGATATTTTCTGCAGATTCATCGGCTGTAGACACCAAAATATGCAAAATGTTTTTTCTTTGGAAAAGTCCCCACAAGGTCAATTGAAAATAGAAGGACCCACCTCTCTCTCTCAATTTGGTTTCACACTCTAACGTCCGTTCGAGGAAGGTGAGGGTGAGTCACTTGCAATACTTTTTGTTATTTTATTTTTGTTAAAAGATGAGATTATCCAAACAGTTGGAGCATCCAAAATCTAAATGGCCCCAACTTCTTTGATCCTTTTCTTATTGCTTTTTAGGGTTTTTGAGTTGTAATTCACTACATTGTGATGGATCCACTTGTCATCTCTTGTTCTCGTTCTCCCTAGCATGATTTTTAGGATTATTTTAAGAGTATTGTTATTCACATACTTATAATTTTTCAGTTCATTCGATCCAATGATTGAAAATTAAGATAAGTGTGTGAAAAGTAAAAATGGGTGCGTGATCATAACACTACCCTATTTTAAGGTGGGTTTAAACTAATTCTTGTTCTTAATGCTCCAGACATTCATTAGTAGTTTGATTACGTATTGGATGATACATTTTTAATTGTACTCAACTGAACTCTTGAAGGATTGCTTCGATTTGCATCCAAAAAATTAGTATCCACATTTCAATGTTTCATAACTTTAGTTTATCTACTTACCTTTGGAAAAATTGAAGAAAAAAATGTGTTAAAAATTTATCCAAAATTCTAACCTTGGAAGATGCTAGTGTAAAAGAGCTCATTTTTTTCAGTTGAACATTTCATCGAGCATTTAGTGTGCATGTTGTCCTCTACCAAGCAATATTGTGTGCATGTCGACAAAAGTCGACATCTATCAAGTGTTGTGATAGGCATTGTAGATTTGTGAGTGACCTTGCTTTAGTTATGTCGAGCACCCTGCAAAGTGATGTCAAAAACACATTTCATCAAACACTTAGTGGCACAAAAAAATCTCGTCCTAGATATTCATAGGTCCCTTGAGGTCCTTCAACAGCCTTTTTTGGACCTAGTTTTGCAACACAATTTGTATAATACACCTAGGGGACAAGTGTCAATCAAAACAAGTTTCGGAGTCAATTATTAGTTTCAATTTCGGCATTTTAGTTTATCAGAATTAATCCAATCTCATAATCAGTTTTATCTCGGAACTTAATTTGGATCTCCTACATTTTGCAAGACTTTGAAAATTTTCAAACTTTTGTGTATCCACCATTCAATACTTTTTATGAATGTTTGCAATATTTGTGGGTTGTTACATGTGTGTATGACATAAAAGCATATTAGACAAGATAAAATAGTACGTATGATTATATTATTCATTTTTAACAGATAATAATATAATTAAATATACAAAATATGAAATAAAGTATATATAAATATTCAACAGGACTAAGTTTAAGAAATTTGGATCGAAACTTTGGAAGTTTGGATCGGGTAGGAACATTCTTCCAAGCCATCCAAAATTTTCAAAATAGGAAATGTTCAAACTCAGAACGGTTAATTTTTAATTGAATTGGAAATTCCAATCCAACTTACACCCCTAAATACACCATAGCCTAAAACAACATGGCTTACTTGATGAAGATTTTTTTTTTAACACACCTCTTTTCACTTCTCACACGTCATTTCAGTTTCTAACTGTCAGATTGATTAAATTGAAGAGTATCAAAAAACAAAAATTAACAAAAAGGTATGGGAAGTAAAAATGAGTGATGGATAGCATAATCATATTTTTTATGGTTTCACCATTTATGGAAGTGCACATATACTCTGTACACGTGCACTCCTCTCATTTATCATTAATTCTTTATGCTCTCTATTTATACGATTACCAAAGGACAAAACATATATTAAAAGGAACGGTAAAACTAGAAAGGGAGTAGTGTAAACAAAGTGCAGTGAAAAAAAAAAAAGTGTTGTTACGTTTTGTTAATTTGAAACTAGCATATGGGCATACATAAAGTGTGTGAAAAAAATTTTATTTTTGTTTTTGAAATAAAAGGAGAGAGAAAGAGAATGATAGAGAATGTGGAAGTGGGAAAGATTTTTTATTTTTATTTTTTATTTTTTTTTAATTAGAGATATGTTAGGATTACATGTAGGTGAGGTTTTGAAAAAAAAAACAGCAAAGTTTGGTTGTGTGAAATTATATTTCTGCCTCATATTTCTTATTCATGTTCTGTTTTAATTAGAGGGTTAAATTGATAATTTCATATAATTTTAATTGAAAATGAATGTTTTATTACTTAGTAGAT